ACAGACCGAGCGCAGCGAGGTCAGTACAAAAAAGACCGAGGGCCAATATTCTCCCGGTACGGTCCCGAGCAAGCTTGGTTAATAAGAGATTTATTATACGACTGAAGTTCAAAGGGACACAAGTGCGGTATCATTCGGGACTATTCGGGACAGTGCCCGGTCCAATACTGAGAGAATATTGACTGGCAATAGGGAATTTTGATTGGTTGATTTTAGTTATTGGCCCTCTGACTGCCCGAGTCGTGTAATGCTGTATTATATTTCAAAAAGCAGTGTTTTTCTGTCAGTTGCATTCATACTGTAATGGGTCCAGAAGGTTTTTAGAATATGGATTTTGTATATAAAAGATACATGGGAGGGTTCAAATAAAAAAAGGAGAAAAAAAGGTTTGTGTCCTGTTTTTCTCATCTATTGTAGCTTGTTAGCTGTCTCCTCAAGGATAACCTTCAGAAAGATATTATTTTTATGTGTGGGAGTGCTAGACAGGGAAGCTCACTAATCATTCCTTGTCCTTTAATTTTGCCCAGTTCAGTGCCCCCAATGTAAGAGGACACCTGGCATTAGAATAGGTAGCTCATTCAAGGATGGACTGGCCTGCTGGTAAAAGGGATATTATGCCTTGTTGAAAAACCTGAGTGCACAGCACCCAAACTCCATATGTCTATTACACAGATGGAGAATTGCACCAAGTGAGGTCATTGTCGGGTTTGTGCATTCTACAAGCCAAGCTACAAAAATTAAGTCCAGAGAGAGAAACATAAGTGATTTTATCATATGACCCATCTGGCCCTGTTTGCACAATCCCAGAGAATAAGAAGCTGCCATGTCTCGGGCTGGATGGGTTGACATGAGGTGGTCCAGAAAGCCATCTGGTCCAAGTGCACTTGTACAGTGACATAGTTCTCTGAATAAAGGCTGATAGTTTCTAAAGAAATTGTTTGGGGCTGCGTTGGTGGAGGTAACAAAATAATTTGAATATATCAACAAAGTTGAAATGGTAAATTGGCCACCGTTATGATTATAAAAGCTGACGTTTTGAGCGTTAGCCCTTTGTCGGAGCGAATAGAGGAATTGTGGGTTGTGTGTGCTTTTAAAGGTGGAAAAGGAGCTACCTATGTGATTGGTGGGAACATGGCAACGAGAAAAAGACGAATAAATTAGTGGTAGTCTAAATTCCACAGGTATCAACGAACGCTTCTCATTCCACTAATTTATTCACTCACTGACCCTAACAATAGTCGTACATACATACATACATACATACACACAATTATAACAAACTGGTTCAAAACTTCAGAGGTAGTTCATCGTTTTATTACGACAGCTCTGTTTCGTATGGTCAAAATTATGACCACACTCATCATGTAATTTCAACGATTGACCATTAAATTACAATAGCTGGTTATAAAAGCTGGAATATGGTTGTTAGGAGATATAAAAACAACGCTACTTTTCCATATAAGTCATGTGACTGGTGTGTATAATTTCAGATTGTCACTTTATTATGAGGTACTTGGATCAATTTTACTATAGGTACTGTCGGCCGACATGGCGACCGACATGGCGACCGACATGGCGACCGACATGTCGACCGACATGTCGGTCGACAGTCGGTTGACAGGTCGGTCGACAGTCGGAAGATAGTTGGTCGACATGTCAGTCGATATGTCGACCGACTGTTGACCGATGGATGAGTGTCGCGTCTCGGTGGAATATCGGTCAAGTGTCGGTGGAATATCGGTCAACTGTCAGTGGTCTGTCAGCCGAGTGTTGGTAGTCTATCGGTCAAGTGTCTGAACTTTATCGGTAAATATAGTTTGAATGTGGCTCATGTTGTTGTGTATTGTTGCAGTGTCAGTATTGAAAAACTTGATTTGAAGAAAAATTTGATTTGAAGGCATAAACTTTCAGGTATATGATTAAGTGTCAGTGAAGTATCGGTGAAGCATCGGCCAAGTGTCAACCGAGTGTCGGCCAAGTGTCGGCCAAATGTTGACCGACTGTCTACCGATATGTCGACTGACTATCGGCAAACATATATCAGTCGACATATTGACTGACATGTCGACCGAC